GGCATACTTCAGGGGAAACAATATAACAAATGGCTCCGTATAAATTTGATTGTGACACATCTGGCATGTTTCTTTGCAAAGTACTTTAACTTTTAAAAAGTCATCCAATATAATGTTATTGTTTACCTAAAGGCGTACACAAAGCGACTAAACCTAATATAATTATACCTAATGTACTTGACATTTTGCTTGCCAATAAAGCGACTTCAATCGTGAACATACACGCTAAATAGATGTTTTATAGACACATTGAGAATATTAAATTTTTTATTAATTGAAAATATTTAAATTAATAATAATAGATCCATTTTTTAACGATATCCATGTATATGCATAACGGAAGTTTTATCAATTTAATTATTGTAAACGATAAATATCGTAAGTATATGAAATTTAAAAGTAAAAAAAAACACACACACAAGCACATTTATAGACATATTAATATTAATATCAAGTTTTTATGTACCTACTAACTTTTATTTACTTTTTTTGCAATTTGGGATTGTAGTTAATCTTCTATTTTTAATAAATAATCCTATTTCATATAATTATATTAAATAGATTTTGAGTTAATAAGGGGAGAAATATAGGTCCTAAACTGTAGCTACGTGTATTTTAAATTTTATGAGAAATTGATAAGCACTTAAAGCACTAAGAGGTAACAAACAAACACACTTTCACATTAAGTATTAAGTATGGATTAGCAAGAAAATATATTTATTATTAAATAAAATAGAAACAATGTATTTAGAGAGTTCAACAAACTCATATAGGTACTTATTACTAAAAGCACATTCAATGCGTAAATATATTATATTAACTGTTTTTATTTTACGTTAAGTATCAATAAATGTATATATTTTTATGAGACAGAGTGATCGAGAAATTATTTACTGTAATAGATGTAAGATAGAATATTAGTACGTATATTTGTAGAAAGTAATATTTATTTCACAGAACATTAACAAAAAAACAAGTTGCTAGGTAACGCAGATTTGTATGTTCGACCTGGTATGGGTATATTGCTAGCAATGGGATTTTTAGTCTCCATTACTAACATTCCCTTTCCTCCTTGTAATGTGTATGTTACTGACTATGAAGAATCCTTAATAGGCTTGTTGTAGACAATCTTATTTCATTTTTCAAAAGTAAAAATTGTAGTCTCTGGGGAAAATCTTTTCTAAATCAAGTTCTCATTTACGTATATATATAGGTATTCTTTATTTGATTTATTCTTATGGATTTCATATATTAATTTTGTAAATATCGAAATAGCTTTTAGATTTTTTTATATATCACAAAGGTAGCAAATAAACATATAGCCCGTTTGATGGTAAATGGTCAACTGTAGCATATGAACACGGGCAGCATTAGGGACGTCATGTTTATGTTTTTTTTTTGATGGCTGAAAATGGAATGGTAACCACGCCTGCGCTAACGGGATACGCTGACGCAGTGCAGTGAAGGGTGATCGATGAGAATGAAAACAGCCCATCATGATGAATTCATCAGGAATTAAACATGATAGTTTTCAGGGGGAACCACGAGGAGGTCGACCTGGTTGGGTATATTGCTAGCAATGGGATTTTTAGTCTCCATTACTAACATTCCCTTTCCCCCTTGTAATGTGTATGTTACTGACTATGAAGAATCCTTAATAGGCTTGTTGTAGACAACCTTATTTCATTTTTCAAAAGTAAAAATTGTAGTCTCTAGGGAAAATTTCAGCAGGGAACTGAATGTTCGCGGAAGGAAATTCTTCTGAAATCGTACTGTACGTCCATCAGAATAAATCTTCTATTACTTCTATATTTATAAAAACTTTAAACATCTAATAAACGTATTTTATTTTTATTTTTATTTTTTTATTTATTTATTTTTAGATAACTGGGATCCATTCTTGTTAGTAAGTGTACTTAAAAACTATGTTAATACTTAATTACTAATAATGATCTAGTCCTCTCGGAGAGCATTTTCACGAGAGGACTATCCAATTTATTAACAAACATGTTCAGGATACTGTGGCTACTCCCGCGTATTCGACGTAAATACGAAGCTGTCTTTTTTCGCCAGACTGCGTCAAAACTATCTGTGCGAGCGTCGGCAAACATCGCTGAGGCGCTACAGAAGCGCGGAAGCCGCAACGCTACAGAAGCGCGGAAGCCGCAACAGAAACTATTATTAAATTGGATACGCAAGGCATTGCAGGCCCCCCGAGTATACTGGAACCACTGACTCGCCGAATACAACGATGTACAATACGCTTTAAATTGTGTTATTTTCACTGCATCTGTACATCGCGCAAATCGGCGGGACAACATATTGGCTCGGACCGACAAAGCCCTACGCTCCCTCTCCATATCTACATCGTCTCTAAGGCCGGTGGTCACCAGGTGACCAAGGTATTTAAATTGATGCACTCTTCTAATTGGAACACTATCCAACATAATAGGAGGTATATATGTTGGACACCTGGTACCCGCCTTAAAGACCATGTACTCAGTTTTCTTTACATTGTATATCAAACCGTGTGAAATAGCATACGACTCGCACACAGCGAGCAGTTTTAAGTAGTTATTTTTTAGATAAATTTTTGATACCTAGTTAAGAAACAAAACAATTTAAACAAAACAGGTTTGTAGATATCAATTTTAATACGAAAGATAGATTATTTTATTTATTTATTTATACTTATGCACATATCAAAATATGTCTACAGTGTGGAAAAAGTTTTGTATTATGTAAAACAATAATTATTTATGGACTAATATTAAGGCGTTATTGAGTAAAACAAATGTAATTTATTAATTCAATTTAATTTAATACATTAAAACAATTAACACTTTTGTTAAACTCCATTATAAACTTATCTACCCTTTTTGTTCCCTTATATTATTATGTATTAATAATATAAAATTTAAAATCTATATTATAGAAAAATATTATTTATCTAATGATTTTTCGTAATTAGCCATTATGATAATATTAAAGAATTTGATATTTCTACTTATACTTAGAACTAAAGTTTTACCATAATAAGTAATTACTAAGTTTCATTCGGGCATAGAATATGATATGTTTCCACCGATAATGAGTTTGTAGACAGAGAGTAACTTTTCGCTCATTTCGTTATAAACTTTATAATGAAGAAGTAATGGCCAAAAAATGAATATAAATTTTAGAAATAATAATGAAAAAGTATCTGAATTTCTGGTATCATATAGATATATGAATAGTTCGTAATGTAATAAAATTTAAATAGTATTTCTCCGTCATTTTTACATCTAGTTTGTTTTGCCTTAAATGTTCAGATAGATTTTCATGGCATACCTTACCTATATTTGACTTTTATAACAAAACAAGAAGATGTTTTACATATTTACTTGATTTGTAAATACTGACATCAAAAACAGAGAGACTTAGGTATACTTTATTATCAAACGACATCACCCAATGTCAGTACTGCTTATTGTTTGTCTAAAACACCGTCACACTGTCACGCTAATTAAAGAGTTAAGTCATGTAATCATCGTTGTCATTTATATTCATATTATCCACTACTAAACGTAGGTATCCATCATATTTCATCGCAAAGTACGGTCTAGAGCCATTTGCATTTATATTCTCTGCAACAAATTTGAGGTAGTAACTTTATCTCGTGGGGGGTTGCGCTACACTCAAATCATAAATACGATAAAATAGTTAACTAGGATTAATTTATTAAAGTTTATATTATATTATTAGAATTTAAACATAAGTAACAATATTTTTGTTCGATCTAACGAATTATTCTATCACAGGTTTTTGACGAATTGTACACTTATTTTGTAATCTAAATATCTATGTTTCATAGGCACTTCTCTAAAAAAGTTATTTAATTAAAAATATTTTATTTTATTATATATATTACTACTATTATTACTATTATTATAATAATGATATTAAGTATTATTAACTGTTAATGATGAGGTTTATTTTATTATAAAGAAATGTCAGTAACAAACATTGATATTTAAGGGGAAATTATCTATTTAAACTTTAATGACCAATACAATATACAAAACATACCTAAGCTTACTATTTTTTTTTCACTAACATCAAAATTTATTGTTTTTGAACTAATTAATTATACGTTAACTTTCTGGTTAATGATACAAGATGATAAGATTATTACTGACGAAAAAAGGTTTTTTTTATGCATCTTAGAATGGCAAACAAGCTGACGAACCACTTGATAGTAAATGGTAACTGTCGCTTATAAACATATTTATAATACTCTTTAAGAACAGTACCATAGATGTAACATGTCCCTTCATGCGGTTCCATTCATGAGAATTAAGATGTTATGTCTCTGTAGGTACTATATAATTTCATAATTTACTTAAATAACTTAAATTTACATTTAACTACAATCTAGACCTATTACATTTTACACTATATTTCTCGGTCATGCATGTCATGTTTGTATTTTTAATTAAGGGTGGGATATTGGCCTTAAATAATAATCTATAACACATTAAACATATGGAATAGATGAATATCTAAAACACAACGTTCGTTGAGCAATTACCCTAAAAATAAGACTGCTTTATTAAAAAATAGCATATACTAACATAATCTAATTCTTATAAATAAATATACAAGAATAAGTACTGCGTCAGTTACATACCTACACAGCTGATAAGTTCATTAGTTGGGCTTATATTTTCATACAATTTTCAAGTATAAATAAACTAATAAATTATGCAGTGACAGATAATTTATTACTGCTATTGTAGGCATTTGGTAGTATTTATAATGTTAATTATATTATAATATTAAATAACAATTGCATGCTAGTTTTCTGCAACTTTTAATCTACAGCTTTTTAATTATATCTACCTATTTTTTATCATAATTAAGTACAATTCATGGGAGAAATATCCGAGTTAGATATAAATTCCAATTTAATAGTGTGTATTAAAAATTACGAATGGTCTTTGAAATAAAAATAATATTAGTTATGATAAAATTATTAAAAGTAATTTATTTATTGGAAGGTACAATGATCATAATTAAAACAAATAATCTATTCTGTACTTCGACTAGTAAATTTTATGATATTAAATCTATTGAGTTATAAAGTTGCAACTCCCAAGAAACTTCACTAAAACCTCATTAAGAGTTCAAAAGTGAAGACCTATAGGTAGGTACACGGGAGAGGAGCAAACAAATTGAGATTGAACGGAATGTCTACACGAATCACTTCGAAGTTTTTAATAGAGCTGGACCACTTTAGACTTTTCAGATAAGGGGAATTTGCAGAAAACTCGTTTTTAATTATATATTCCTATAACACAAATTTACTTTACAAAACATTTGTTATTTATTACTATCTATTCATAATAGAAAACATTATACATAATTATAATAAACAAGAAAGTCTTAAGTAAAATTCATGGATACAGCATTTGTAATAAAATAGCAGATTTAAAGAAAAAGAATGTCATACAAAAAACGAACTTCGGACAGTCTTCTTCAACCAGTCGTTCTTCGAAACTATATACCTAGTACCTAAAAATGAACTAAACATAACCAGTTTTCGAAACCAATTGAATGTAATGTGATTTGAAGTTGACATTTATACGTTACATTCAGGTGTATGCAGTTTCTTTCTTCCTATAGATTTAAGACAGTACCTGCGGTTTCTTTCAATTCATTCGTTATTGTTTCTCTAAGTCAGACAATGGAAAAACAGTTTCTTTATTTCTATTTATTAATTTACTATTATTATTTCTTTATTCTAAGAACTGGTTTTAAAACTTCTAGTGTTAGTTTAGTACCCTGCTTAAGTTAATTTAATATTTTCCTCTTCGAGTTTCTTTACCACTATAGGACATAGCTCTTTTTCGCGAAAATTGTATCCACAAGCCAGCATCTCTTTAACCACGTAATAGTTTTTCGTTAAACTGTCCAACCAGATTGTATAGGAATAGTCCGGCCAGATGCCTCCGTACCTTTCTGGTAAGTGGTCAGGGTGTATATGTTTGTGGAGAGAGGTTACATCGTATCTGTGGAAGTATATCTTAGACTGGATCGTAGAATTCAACAGTGGTTTGAAGATGCTATGCATTTTGTCGACCAACCACGAATGGTTTATAATGTGAATTGCGTGGGTCATCACCGGGAAACAGTACTGAAACAAAAACAGAATAACAAAGTCTAATAAAGTACTTTAGATTGGAATATTTATATAGCTTTATCATTTAAAATAATGCTTGGACAATTTGAATAAAGAATAACATTACTTTTTAATAAAACTGTCTTGACTCATAACAAATAATAATAAATCGAATTGATTTATTTTATTACCAATTAAAACGTAAATTTATTTTTATTTCAAGTGTTAGATACCTGACCTATTACGAAACGATGCTTAATACTCATAGCGTCGTTTCATATTGTTATTGGCAATAAATATTTTCTTTCTTTCTTTTATATTATATAATTTGGAATAGTTAATAAGCTAACGACTCGTCTGATGGAAAGTGGTAACCGTTGTCATTTGAACTTGTATGAATGAATGAACAATGAACAATTAATGTAGACATCACAAAACATAGTGTGATAGTTTTTCGATGACTAAGGTGTTATAATTTTGTTTCTACTTTCGAGTTATATATAGCCCCCAGATATTTTATATCTGATGATGATGATATCAGCCGTTAGCTGTCCACTTTTGAACACAGGCTTCCACTTTGGAGGGTTTTGCCAATAGGTGTCACATTTGGTAGATGGGTTGATAAACTCAATTAGGCTTCGGTGACGTTTTAAGAACCCATCGTTCTATGCCGGGATCATTGTATATTATATGACCACATAGTCAAACCCTTATCTGGTTTTAAAAAAATATTGGGTATCGCAACCCAAAAATCAGGCTTGATGTAATTGTTTGGAATTTATTACTATTAATAAAGTGGCTGCTTTATTATGATTATTATATATTTAATTTTAACATGTAAAATATATGTGCGCAAAGCCCATGCTGTCAAGCTGATCGGAATCAATATCGTAAACGTACAAATCCTAAAATACCGTAAAAATACTAACCAGCAGAAGTTTCACCATCCTAGCAGCAACAGATGGCGTGACCTGCCACGCGTGTTGTGTACCGATGTCCTCTAAATCGAATATAGCAACACCTCCCAGTACTTGGTTCCGTGGCTCTAGTAACCCCAGTTCTAAAGCCATAATAGTAGCTTTAAAGAGGTCATCCACTGAAATTATTTTTGGGTCCCAACAACCTGTAAATACATAATTGTCACCTTTACATATGTATAATACGTATTCTGTACGCGTGTATGTCAATTATTTCGTATGTGTGTTTAAATGGATCCTTGTATAGTTTAGATTTACATTTTGAATAGACAATTTGCAATAGACTTCTGGACAATGTCTGTCGAGTTTGCTAGTTTATGTTACATTGGAAAAGTTCATCAAAATGAAAGTCATACACTATGTATATAAAAAAATCGTAAAGAATTTTTATTTATACTCATAAATATTTTTATAATAATTATAGTAAAATATGTGACTGACATGAAATTGACTAACCCCTCCATTTTTAGCTTTATTAAAGTTTTTTTTATGCAATTTAGAATGGCAAACAAGCTGACGACCCACCTGATGGAAAGTAATAACTGTCGCCTATAGATATGAGCAGTACCATGCACATATCAGAGTATACTGTTTCGCCCATGGTACCCCTCATGCGTTGTCATTCCTGAGGACTCATGTGTTATTGTTCTGTACCCTGTAAATTCACTGCCATATCCCACCCTTCGAACAGAAACACAGCCATGCAAACACAACTGCTTCACGGTAGAAACACGAATGGGACAGAGATGCCCAAGCAAACGACTATTGTACAAAGTCTGTATATTGTCTGTATCTCATCTAACACTACTACTCATGTAATGATAACACCCTCTGGTGTGAAGAGTTTCTAGATCGATTGATTGTGCATAAAGGCCTTTGAAATGACGTCGGATTTTTTGTAGAATCGGCTCATCTCTCTATCACATACGTGGTCTGCATTAAACTCTTTTCAAATATACAGAGAGCCAATATAGTATTCAAATACTGTATCTAAATTTACAAATAGCATCAAAGATCGAAAGTACGTAGTAAGCGTTATTACGTATGCATAAATATGCAAGGGGACGTAATAAAACTAAAAAAATAAATAAAAATAAAAAAATTGACAAAAAATAAAAAAAAAATATAATGTTATCGCCTGTTTATATTGGAATGAATTCTGACGGAATTTAGGTTTTTCATATCGATGCCATGCTATGCATGGAATGACATAACAAGAACCATGTTATCTGCCAACTGTACGGTATTAATAAAATATGACCTAATGAATACATCCAAACACAAGGACTTTCTCCGCCTTCTTAAAGTAAGAGGTGTGGTAATGTCTTTGTTTTGATTTTTTTTAGTAATATGTCTCTCATTTATTTGTGTTGTTTCTCATTTAAATTACTAGATTCATTATAGTCGTAGTATCTATGCAAATGTAAAATTATCTTACATAAACGAATTGAAAAGAACTGAGTTTATTGAGGGTTCTTCTGAGTAGATGAGAACACTTCAAACCCTGCAGTGGAATCATAAAATATAACGATTTAAAAGAGTTTGTAAACAAATCTATTTGAATTAAGATTATTTCTATTATATTTATTCTAATTATTTGGTAAATACTCTTGTTTTTGTTACCAGAGTGAGTCACAAAAGGTGATTAAGGAAACAAAGCATTTATATGTTACCATACATTTTATTCCACACATCTGTGGAATAAAATGAGATCTCGGATAAAGGAAAACTCTATACCAAGCCACTTAACCAGTATGGTAATAGTACTAATATAGTATTATTGTGGCTTACTATTTAGCTAAATTTTCCCTTGTATATGGGGAAAGACCCGTTTCTAAGTGTGAACACGATCACTTAATAATGATGATAATTATGAAGCACGAACCTAATCTTTACTTACCCATTCTAAAATGAAATATTCTTCGACCATTTTGATCTCTGTATGGTGGTACGGATAGAACATTAGCATCTCCTATGTGGCGAAGATCTAGGGGATACACATTTTCAAATAGTTCGGGGTTCTCTTCTTTGAACTGGTAATAATTCACCATCTGCAGTGGAGAAACACAAACGTTAAAAACTACATTTAAATGTCATTATAAAAGTAAGATTTGGTTATCTATTTTTATTTGTGTTCTGCCTGGAAGCAGCTATGCTTGCATGGCTATGTAAGGATGGGATATGGCAGTAACATACAGGTACGAAAGTATATCATTTAGAAATTACAGAATGTGAAGGTTATTTTGGCCGTAACAGTGTATTGTGTGATGTGGAAGGCTATCAACTTGTTTGCTATTCTTGTATCAAAAAATATACACTCCCTTTTTATCAGTAGATTTGATGCTTAACACCTGCATATAGAAAATGATAAGTAACATTATAAAGAGCAAATACTGGTTTAATACTTTCTGAGTTCTCCGCAAACAAATAAGTATTTACCTACATAAAATTTCTCTTTACTGTATTATAATAGAATTCAAATATGTATTAAGTAGATTATGAAAACACTGGCATCGATTTAAACAATTTAGGTCAGAGGTCAGCCGTGTTTAAATATAAGTTTGTGCAAACGATTTTCATTTTAGTACATTAAATTCATATCTTTACCACATATTGAAATTGATAAAGCTTTTTGGGTCAGATTTACATATCTAAATTTAAATTGGAGTCCTTCCTAAAAATAATTGATTACTTGGCGTTCCACTTATCTTAATGTATACTGTATTTTGCAGAATTGAGATAAATCGCATTATAGCTATAGTTTATAACATAGTAAATTTACCAATCTATGCGCTCTTTGTGGTATAAAATCGCGTGCGCGCAGAAATCTGACTAAAAATTCATCATCCATACGGTGGGGAGTACACTCGCCTCGCTCTGTAATAAAAAAAGTATTACATTCTTAATTTAAATATAATACAGATAAAAAATATGATCACAATTATAAACTTTGATAGAGTATTGAGATATTAATTTATAGTTGCACGTCACATGCGAAAATGTCCTATTTAAGCGTAAACTTGTTACATTTTGGCTATGGCAATAAATAATAGGTATTTACAGTAGTTATTAGTAGAAGCATTACAATTATTAGGTTACGCGACAACGCTCTTGTTACTGTGGAGACATGGAGTATTTACAAATAAATTAGAAACCATTCTCTAACTCCCATATCAATCATTTCCAACACATAATTTATCTTAAACGTTTTCAGTAAAATGTTCTCACTAGATGGTATTTTCCATCGTGAAGATATTCATGTTTACATGGAAAAATGATTGATGCCTATCGTCTTATGGATATCTAAATGTGAAATACCTAAATAATAAATAGACTTTGTTTTTTATGTTCTTTCTTATTTATTTCCAGCCATATTATAAAATATACGTATATACATGTAAGTTCTTTTTGGGCATGGTAGGATATAATTTACTTGAAACAAGACGAAAATTAGCTTTAATTGAACATATCTTAAAAGTGTTTAAAGGGTATAAATATAATCAGAGCATCCTGACATCGATATCCATTCGAGTGCTTTCTAATTATGCTCGAGCACGTCAAAGGGATTTTTGCCATATTCCGTTGAGATGAATAGAGCTAGCAAAACAGACTCCTCTTCCATTGTCATTAACTCTGCTCAAAGGTGTCATGAGACAGTATTTGGACTTGGATATATTTACTTGTAAACTTGTCAAGTTTCGTAGAATGGCATTAAATTAATTCTAAAATATCCAATATATAATTTATATAGGACTGAGCAAAATTCTCTTGCTGCTTAGCTGAAATGACTTCTCACACACAATTTTATATTTTAAATTAAAATAATTTCAATGTAAGGTGTTTATAAATCATCTCGTTGTCCATAATATTTTTACACAATTTAACTCATTTTAGGATGCCATACCAAAAAGGTACAAAGTATTACTATGAACAAAATGTATTTTTAAAAATATATGTTTATTTTAAAATATTTTAAAATAGATATATTTTTTTTATTATTACACGACATGAATAATTTGTCACTTGCTCATAAGTAAAATTATAAGAGATTTTTAATAAGCAGTGCAAATAGCTATGACCTGTAAACCATCGTAGGTCGCAACTAGATATCCTTCAATAATCCTCAACTATTAAAATTATTGCTTATAACAATAATAAATGCCAACAACTGTTAAGTATTCGAGACCAATGTTATCAGTTTTCTAGAGTCTCGAATGGATTACAATATTTTTTCTACTTTTTCGTGTCCTTAATAAAAATTATATTTATTTTCTTAATACCGATAGCATCACAAAAGAGTCTGGTTTTAAATATTATTAATGTTTAATTTTTTTCATTCCAAAAATCCATCAATAAAAATAGCCAGTATGTCGTCACAATTTAGCATTCCTTTACCTTTTTTTGCCGTTTGGGGAAACAGGAGAGAGATGACGTGACACGTGGTATAGTACAACGTATGTATATTTAAAATTATGACTACATTTTATAATGCGTGGTGTTATAGTAGTATATATTAGTCATTAGATTAGATTCAACAGTTCCATAGTTTTAAATTATATCCATGTTTTATTGGTTTCTTTCATCAATATAACATTATATTATATACCTCCAGAATATAGATACTAAATATAGAGAAAAAAAGTAAAAATATAAAATAGGTTTAATGTCCAATATAGGTACTACCACAGTAACAAATATCTTCGACGTCCCTCTTTATGCTCTATGATCACTTAATTGTCTAATATTTTTATAATTATTTTCTCTGCAAGATAATTTATTCAAAAGTGATTGCCACAAGGTAAATAATACAGATATATATTTTAAAGTTTATAAATATATTGCCAAAAAGTTATAGGCAAATACTCAAGTAATATTTATGTAATACTTTTATACAAAATGATATTGGCTATTTTTAACGGAGAGAGTAAATTCTATTAAAGAACCTTGATTGCTAACCTTCATCTTAACTAAATAAACTCAGGATATATCGTATTACACTCTCATTCGTACAATCGAATAAAATGCTAAGATTAGATTGTTAATCCATAGAAACAATCGTAAGGATTGTTTTTAATAATACTTTAATACAGAATCATAATTTTGTTCAAACACCAATTGAAAATTACTTCTGATATTCTCTAAGTTGATTGGAATACATTTCTTCTAAAAGTAAGTCTTCTATGGTACTAGTCAATACTTTATCTGATCTCTTTTTTAGGTACAAGAAAGATTTTTAAACAGGTAAACAATATAATCGAAATAAAATCGGAGAACATAACTACAAAAAAAAGCAGATGAATTGCGAACCTCTTCCTTTAAAAATTACTTAAAATTATCTTACCATAAATAATGTCTCGTAATTCGTATATAGCTTTTAATCGAGTGTCGGGATCCTCGCCGCAATGTTGTCGGGCATACTCCTCCAGCTCCGTGGAGGGAGGGTTAAGCTCCATTTCTACACTGTACTCGGGCGTCGGCATTGTTGAGTCTGAAACAAATTTACACACAAATTAAGGATATATATAAAAGAAAAAGAGAGCATCGTGACCCAATCCTGCCTTGTAAATCATAAAGATCGTCACTTCGGATTCGATTTAATTTATTTTTATACAACTTAGAATAGCAAAAAAGCCATAATTTCACCTGATCAAAAGTAGACTGTCGCTTATAGACATAAACAGTACTGTGAACATAACAGAATTAATGTCGTCTATGATACGCTTCATGCGTTAGCATTCTTAAGGATTGAGGTGTTATGCCTCTGTATCCAGTAATTTTATTGTCATATTAAACCGAAACACAGCCATGCAAACAACTGCTTCAAGGCAAAAACACGAATGGAACACAGGTGCCCAAGCAGACGACTTTTGTACAAAGTCTTCCTTTGGTAAATACATAATAACTACAGGGCAAAATAAAAATTATAAGTACCCTTTTGTGAAGTGTGCAACCATTATAATGAAATATTTTCCTAAAAAAATAGAAAATTACTCTATATTTCATCGTGTGCCAAGTTTTATTCATATCCTATCATATCATATTTAAGCCATTTATGAGTAATTATGTAACAAATTTTAAACATCTTGTACTTTCACATAAGATTATAAAAAAAAATTAAAACAACATTTGTATACGTATATACACTTATAGGTAAACTTCTTATAAGAAAGAATATTTTATAGATAATAAAAAGTTAATTAAGCGAAATTACACTCATTATCTGTATTTATATAAAAAGATATTTTTATCCTGTTATTTTTTGTTCCAGATAAGATAAAAATAATGACATACAATATTAATGTAAAGCTATTAAAATTAAGTTAAGTATCGCATACTGCAGGAAAGTACAGTTAAGTTTTATATCTCTACATTGGTACATCTTTACATGTAATAAAATCGTAACAAAGAAGAAAGTTTACATTAAATATTTTTAGATAGAAGCTGAACTGATTGTAACGAAATTTTTACATTATATTAAGTCAAATATGGGTCAATATAGGCAATAGAAATAAAAAAAAAATACCGCTGTAAAAAATATGAACGATATATGTAATATAGATTCGATTGTAGATAGTCCCAGGTTTCATTCTCGGTTGGATTATTTTAATTTATAACAAATAAATATATTTTAAATACTATGACATTAGTTTTTAAAATAAACTGTTTTATTTTTTTTTTTGTTTTTCGGAAATTATAAGTCTCTATATGTATCATTACATTTAAAGCTTAGTCGACCAACAAAGCAATAAATCAAAACCTATTGATATTATTATTGTTTTCCTACTAATAATAACCTAATGCTATTGTTTTCAATTGTGACTATATTTCAATCATTTCCATGTGATGATGGACTAAGAATACCGCTGCGTTATTATACAATATTTGACACATTGTTTTCTCTGCTTTTCATTCTCAAGATGTCGTAAGAATGAATGATTGAACGATTGTATTGACTGAATCTAAGTTGTAACAAGAAGAATTAAGTATATTCATTCATTCAAATATAGCGGAATTGAAGTCCTCCTTCTTTTTTAAGTCAGTTGAAAATAAAAGGTAACTATAAGATCGAACCACATTGCAAGAGTGCATGACTATGTCATACTTATCATAATTTACTAATATGCTATACGATGTATTGTTTAATAACTTCATTGCTAAATCAGCGGTTTTACAACGCAGCTAATTTGCTCATATGAATATATCAATCAATCACAATCACTTTACGTTTGTGTAGTAACTTTTATAAATAATTTGTTAAATTAAGAAACTGCCGTAACCGTGGATGCCGCAGAAAGTGTTGCGGAATGTAAACAAAGAATCGCAATAAATTCTATGAGTTTATTGCATAATGCACTTCCTATTACTTAAGATGATGCCTTTCACGCAAACTTATATACTTATTGAAAATAGTCAACAAATACTTTGCATAAAATGTAGACAGAACTTGCGTTAATTTTTGTCTAAGTAAAATAAGAAAGATGAATAAGTATGTTACATGCTTTTTTTTTATGGGTAAAAATGGTATGGTAACCCCGCCTGCGCTAACGGGATACGCTGGCGGAACACCAGTGAAGGGTGATAGATGAGAATGAAAACAGGCCAGTTAGCCCATCATGATGAATTTATCAGGAATTAACCATGATAGTTTCCAGGGGAACCGCGAGGAGGTCGACCTGTTTGGGTTTATTGCAATGGGATTCTCAGAGTCCATCACTAACAATGCCTTTCCCCCGGTATGTTACATGTTCAACAATGCAAGATAGAATAATTTTGTAATTACTACACAATTTTAATAAAATGCACCGACTCCTTCAGCAATGCATTTATTTAATAGAAAAAAGTTCCGTTTGTAGAACATATCTATACTAATATAATAATATGGCAGAGTTCGTTTGTTTGAACGCGCTAAGAGATTAGTACATGAAAATACCAGATTGATAGTTTTTGCATTTGATAGCTTCTTTCTAGGATGAGGTTATAGGCTATCTAATATTACGATACGACCACGAGCGAAGCTGATACAGATAGTGGTTTAATAGTATTTTAGAAGCAAGTTAAAAATAATTTGTTCACTTTTCATAGGAGATACGATTGATTTGGTAGATAAAAGAAATAAAAAAAAGTCTATATATGTCTGCAATAGCATGAACAAAGTTGTTCCATTCGATGAATATAATTGCTATCTACTCGTATATCTAAGTTTCAGATTGCCCTTTACAACTACTAGTGTTTATATCTACAGTAGCGAGTGAAAGCATAAGAGTATGTAAATTGTCAATTAGCAAGAGTAACAGAATAACGGTTACCATGTTATTAACTGCAATCAGTGCATTTGATCGTTATAGGGTAGGTAGGGTATAAGCGAGGGAGAAAGTAGCGGTTCCTAGTCAGACTGGTCACGATATTGTATGTAGAAACAGCTTTCCTATGTCGGTTGTTTAGCTTCGAAAGGAGCTGTTACAGCTTACACACAAAACGGTCTTGTAAAACCAGTCTTTTATATAAATACTAACAAACAGTCTGAGATTTGATTACGCAACTAATTTCGTTCTAAAATGGTATTCTTTTTTGTTTTTTCTTGCAAAACGTTCATCAGGAAATATTCATACAAAAATTTCGTCTTTCTAAGTTTCGAAGTTTTCTTATGTGATGAAATATTGAATAATTTAGTATGTTTGTGTAGAGCACAAATTACTAATCGACATTTTTTTTTTTGAACATTTTCAATTTTTTTTTATATAAGAAATATAAAAAAAAAAATTGAAAATGTTCTTTGTACTTAATTTGGTTGATTATATTATTATTGTTATTTATATTATATTTATTGTACTTAATTCAATTTTTACATTTTTATTCTCACTTCTTTTATTAACTTTCTCCTGATTTAACTATACTTTTGTTAGGTTTGAAGTTTTTAGTGTTTTTTTCATAAAAAAAAACTTCAATTATTACTATCAGTTGCAATTACCACTTTTATATATCCCAATGCATTATTTTTTCACATAGAACGTAACGTACGTACAGGGAAATTTTTTTTGCATTTATTTTCAATCCTATGGAAATATAACCAGAGCCAGCATAATACTTGTTGAGGTATTGCTTCACTGGACCTCGTAGAAGACGTGAATTCGAATTTCGCCCGTGTGTAATTTTTTCAATCATTCAATGATTATTGAAATATTATTTTTATATTTTAGTACTGTTTATACATCAATTTTATTTAGTAATTGCCAAGTAGTTAGACATAATTAAATATTTAACATTAGATATTCTTCCTAACTAAGGTTACCAAGTTTGTTTCACACGTGATTTCACATACAATAATGTACAGTAATGGATACATAACAATAATGTAATTATTGTTATGTAATACTGTAAAATAAGATAAATCTTCGATTTATCTTATTTTATAGTAATGACAGTTACAAATAATATTATAATAAAATTTTGTTCTAATACAGTCAAATAACTATATTGGAACAAAATTTTAAATGATTAATTACGTATGCTTAATCATAATAATTAGTAGGTAATGAATGCTCAATGTCTAATTTCTTATATACATATCTATTCTCAAAAGAAGTAATCTCGTTCAATTATGCATTTGGGTATTCAGTAATACATAGACAACATATGTATGATGTAATAGCATCTAATGTATCTCTAGTTACATCATTACATGGTCGTGGTTCGAGGTTAGTGATTGATTGACAGATTAGATAGAATAGATAAAAGATGACTAGTCCAAAATATGTTCGACCTTATAACAAGAGTTAAAAACAATAGTTGTTATTTAGCGTTATTGAATTGCGTAATTTTCTTCGAATGACTGGTAAACATGCTCAATATTGCAAAAGGGTTACATATTGTCATTTTAATATCATATGGAATTGTCTTTGGAATATTATTATTTTTCATATAGTTTAGATTTAATTTTTAAATCAGATTTAAACAAATGTATCTCCATTTTAAACGACTTCTATAATAAGGAGGTATTCAATTTGATGGACTCTTCAGTCAGTTTTTTTTTGTTTTGTGATACAAAATTTAATATTACATATCTGTTTTGAAATTTATTGTGTATATTTGCATCTATTATCTTAATAATTTGGAGACAATTGAAGCTGCTGTTTTTTTTTTCGAAACAAAAACTGCTTGTTGTTTGTTTGTTGTGAAGTAAAATCTACTTATAGACATGATTTTGCATTCTTCGATGTGTGATCATGGTTGAATTCGCTTTTTGTGGAGTAAAATTTGCCTTCTTTTATTAATTGTATGGCCATCTTTAGTTATTCCATTGGCATATATTCTAACTAATTAATTAGTACAATAATAATAAATATAATGATATTTAAAGATTTCAATGTAGTAATTTACAATTTAAGCATAACAAAAAATTTATGACGACAGTTCCTAATAAATTAAATTTCGACAAGTTATGTATATTTCGAGAATCTATGGTTAAAAGAGTAAAGAAAGAATTAAGAG